ACATACGCCCGACGCCTTGTTTCTCTCGCAACGGCAATCGACTCGAGTAGCGATACGATCTCGACGATCATCGTGTACCTCGACTCGCCCGACCGAACTAATGTCACGACGACGTTCTCGTCTCTCGACGTAGCGCCACGCTCCCTCGATCGCTTGTGCATCGAGCACACCGATTCCGTCGAAACCACGCGACCAACGACCGCTCGACCGTCGAATAATTATGCGTACTGCGTACGTACATATATGTTTTGGTTTCAATATACGACTTTCGACGCAACCGCGTCAGCCAACTACATTGTTGGTTATTTCATTCAAATAACTAAACTTGTGTACCTAATCCTTCCTGCAACGGAGTCAGCAGCAGAACGAAGCGCATGTTAGGACAGTGCTGTTGCCCCAACCGACGCAGCGTCAACCACGACGATAGGGCCACGCACATGTTGCTACATTGGTGACCTCTTTTCGAAAACGGTACGCAAGTTTACGCGCACGCCGACACACACGACGGCAGCGCCACAGAAAGGACGTTCCACCCGTTTCACGAAACCACGCGCCCCGACGGCCGTCACACACAGCGACATCGCCAAACCGCGAACACGTGCCGGACATCGACGAACGAGACACCGCTTCGCTCGACCTTCGAATTCTCGTCTTACAGCACGCGCCATGGTCGGCAAATCGAACGACGAGCACGTGACACCGGCGTCAAAACCGGTCAGCTTGTGGCAGCGGCTGAATCCGACCGCTCTCGTACCAGCATCGCGGGAATCCGTGGATTTGAACGCACAGGTCCATCGGCTGAGCCTACAAGTCGCGCACCTCACCATCGAGGTCGAGCGACTGAGGAAATTGGTAGTGCCCATCGCTACGGTCGCACCGTCACCGCCGTCCACGAAGGAAGCCACGTGCTACTACCACAAGTTGTACGGCACGAACTCGAAAAGCTGCCGACCGCCTTGTACAATGCACACACCGGCAAACATTATTAAGCCATAAGCTTCGGCCTTACGCCATTTTTATTTTTTCCTTTTTTATTCATCTCTCGGACCTCACAAATTCAAAATTTTAACGCCATCTTTTACAATCAACAGTCAACCTTTTCAGCCATCAGTACAATCAAAATTCATTCAGCGTCCAACGACGGTCAACTTCCGATCAACAGGCAACGTCCGTTCGACATTCGACTTCCCGTTCAACAGTCAGCACTCGTCTACACTCCAGCTGCAGGTTCAGGCTGACAGACCCAGTGTTGGGGAACCCCGACATCGACTGCCACGAACGATCAACGCACGACGTCCGATTCAACGTTCACCTTCCCGTCAACATTCGACCAACTTCGGCCGACATTCGCACGGAGAAGTTTCGACATTGACCGCCGCTACGCAGCACATCGACCAACGCCTCAAAAACGGTTCGTTTTTTCTTTTCCGAGGGGGAGTAATGTGGTGACTTCGGCGCTTATCACCACTTTGCTCAACTCATTCGCCGTTACCATCCGTTTCGCGGAACTTTTATATTATATTCGTATTTATACAACAACTGTGATTTCTAGTATTTATTGTCTTTGTAATTATATTTATGTTCCTCGCTCAACTCGATCTCGCGTCTCCCATTGGCGACGCCAAGCGACTCGTCCCGCGACGGGTACGACGCGGCCGACCGACCGGCCAGCGTCCTCTTTGCTCACAGCCCTCGACCGAGCCACACGTTTTCGTCCGACCCACGACACACGCCCGACGCCATGCTTCTCTCGCAAGTAGTAGACTCGAGTAGCGATACGATCTCGACGATCATCGTGTACCTCGACTCGCCCGACCGACCGAACTAATGTCACGACCATGGCTAAATAACATGGTATGACAGCAACTGCTTACTGCGCATGACGACTACGTCATCCGGTCTCGGTAAAAGGCGCGAAATCAAATATTGTATTATGATAACAGATAAATTAAATTTATCACTTATGAGTTATGATAAAAAAATAGTTAAAATAATAGTGTTTGTAAAATTAATTAATTAATAATTAATAGTTAATTTGTATACTAAATAGATAAATTATTACAGCAAAATAATAAAATATTATTATTACTATGTGAATTATACTATTCATGTTGCAGCATGCTTTAGAACTACAAGAAAAGTATAAAATAGTGTTGTTATTTAATTTGTATATTTCAAAATAAAAGGTATACAATGAAACAATGTACATGTTACACATGTACTAAAACAATTAAATTCACAACAAAAATTTTCTTATTTTAGTTTTATTTCCAACTGTTGGAGCATTGTCGGCAATATTTTTATTAAGATGATTGAACCTTACAAAAGTTCTGGTTCGGATTAAACAGCTTACCACTTCTTCTGGTAATACATCATTACTTTCTAAAATAACTTTGGTTTTTAATGTTTCCATAACTTTAGGATTTTTATTGAGTGAGGTACCATGCATTTCCTCAAAGTACTTATTCATTACTTTTGCAACTCTCATTAATGTATCCGATGGTGTAATTAAGTGGCCTCTTGTTATATGCTGAGTCCAGCTAGTTGATAATGAACTATCCAATGACACTGAAGTTTCATTGCCTAAATCAGGATATTTATGTACAAATCTCCTGGCTACATAACCCACTACATATTCTAACGCTTCATGCTCCACAGTTCTACTTGATGCACTCTGGATAATAAGGATAATATAAAGTGTAAGGTATATGCATTTATGATTATTTTAGTATGTATGGTACAAAGTTTTTTTTAAGGCACCTCTGTTTTAAAAAGTTCTGAAAAATCTTTGTCTTCCTCTAATACTAAAAAATGATTATCTGCTGCAGAGTAAGATAGTTCTTCGGTGGACATGTGATCGTTGTCTAAAGGCGTTTCAATAATTTCAGACTCTTTGACAATTGATGCTGATAAACATTCAGTATCGATTAACCGTTCACCTATTGTATCTTCAGTATTCCTATTCTGTGACAGTGCAATAGAGGCATGTTTACCAAGCAAGTACCATTTTAGACTGTAAAAATTAGAAGGTCCATGTTAAATTATAAATTTATTTATATTTTATTTATCAAGTTTTTTAATCATACCAATGTTTAAAATCAAGAGGTGATAAGTGTGTATTTGCACCAGACATAGCTTTTAAATAGCTGTACAGGTTTTCAAGAATATCTTGATTCAAACGTCTTGTTATTATATAACTTATATCAGGATATTTTAATTTCAAATCAATCAAAAGATTTCTCAATGACTGGTTACTGTATAAAATTCCTTAAATGTGTAAAATTTTAGAAATTTAATAACAATTTACAACAAAACTATTATAGTTAAGTACATGATTTTTCACCTTTTTGAAATGGTAACAATGTTTTATGTCCAACAACTCTCATCTCTAAGATAAAATTATCCATTGTTTTTAATAATTTGTTTTGATTTTCAAGATCCATTCCATAACTTTTTATAAATTTATCTACTGGTAACTGTGTGTTAAACAGGTCAAACCAGTCATTAAATAGCTGTATTATCCAGGAAGCATAAATGTATAACAATAATAATGATTCATCCAACTAGGTATTCATCCAACAAATATAAATAATTAAACATATAATTTAAACATTATAGTATAACCTCTTGCCAGTTATTGTAGTCAAGATTGAAATTTTGACCACAATAGGAAATCGCTTTGGCTAATGAATTTGAAAACAATTGTGCCTCTAAACTAACACTCTGCTTTTTAGGTCCTGGTATATTTATATGATTGTTTGTAATTTTATAAGCAAGTCTCAAATCATTTTTATTTAAATTTAATACTTTTTCAACAACTTGCTTTCCAATAAACTTATTCTTGTAATTGTATCCTCTTAAAAATATAATTTATCATTCTATTACTTAAGGCTTAGGGCACATGATTATATAACATCACATTATTGTTTGATTTACCTATTTACAAAATGATTTCTTGCCAATTTTAGCAAATGTGGAACATCTGCGAATATATATATTTTATTCTTTGTTTCAGGATGATCAAAATAAGTTTTATTGATTGAGATCCCCAGTGAATTCCATAAACTCACATTTGTTGGACCCATATCACTTACGGTTGAGACAACATTGTAACCACTCTGGTGTTATGCAGTAATAATATTAAATAAAATATCTTTTGTCATTCTAGTGTCGTACATATAAAATATTGGTTGTCTCCATGATGCTATTAAACCTTTTCAACAAAATGTCACATTTATTTTAAAATATAAAATTATATAATTAAATGAAATTACCTCTTTCTACTACTGTTTGTACACACTTATGAGGACCAATGAATTGTTCTTTTTTTTTATCATAGCATATTTTCTGTGATAAATATGTTTCATCAAATGCTAGTACAGTTATTTTTTCTAAATCTGTCATTGAGGAACCTATAATTATAAATATTGTCATGATATTTTTTTTTAGAATTAAAACCCTTGTTTTATGTACTCTTATGTTTCATTATGGATAAGACTGAAGATAAAATCCCCTGGTCCATAGGGAATTTTGTCGCCCATCCTCTTAGTGTTGAAAGTCCTTAATTAATAAACAGTCATTTTTACTTATAATCATTTCGAAAAAATCAATAATTAGCTTAATACTTAAAAAATACCTGGCAGTGGATATTTTTTTTTCTTCTCTGAGATATCTATAGGCCTTAGGTGACAAGCTTCTAAGTGTTATAGCATTGGCTATATCATTTTCTGTCCACTTATATACTTTTTTGTTGGGATATAAAAGTAATTTTATTTGGGTTTCAGTAAACATTCCTGACAACACTTTATTAAATTCAATTTCATTTTTTTCTTTTAATTTATTATTTGGTATGGAATTAATAATCTCTTTCTGTAATTTAATGGTATTTTGTAATTCTAAATTTAGTTCTTTTTCTTTTTTTAATTTTAAATGTAGATCCAATAAATGTTGTTTAAGTCTGTTTAAATAAAACATACAAATAAATAGAATTGAATTATACATTAATAATTATTTGTATTTTTTTCATACTTCTCAACTTCATTCAAATCATTACCACACTGTGTACTAACATCAGCTCTTTCCACTGGAAGTCTAGAATACACCATACCTATTTCACACTGAATACCAACATCTTGTGTTTCACTTAATAATTGTACTCCAAAATCAGGTAGATCATTCAAACAATTATTATTATTATTTGAAGTAAATGGATCATTTTTTTCTTTAGGTAATTTAGAACTTTGAAAACTAGCTTGGAATAAACCATCATGTGTAGAGTGTGGTGTATGTGTATTTACAGGCTTACATTTAATTGTTGGTTTTTGAATTCTGGGCTGCAATAAAATGATTTAGAAAAGATTTAATTGTTTTTTTTTATACTGAAAAATAATAACCAACCAAATTTTTTGATGGTACAGCATTGGGTTTAAGTTTTCGTTGATGTTTAGGAGAATATTTTAACATTCTTTGAATCATTGGTTTTTCATAATCAGATGAATCAAAATGTAATGAGCATACTCGTGCTATAACGTTTACATACATTTTAGGTAAATTAAAATAATTATATACTTAAAAACCAAATTAATCTATAGTTATTGTTTACTATATGTATCCATGTAGGCGTATAATATAAAACCACATATAAATGTTTACTAACCAGAAGAAATTTTAATTTTTTCTTACATAACACTAAGTTCAACCCACAATTTTTGCAGATATTCATCCTTAGGAAAACGATGAAGGATTGGTTTAATTTCGGCAATTTTTGATGTACGACTGCCACTCGTACAATTTTTTACAACGCACACAGGCATTATAAAAAATTTAAATAAAAAAACAACAAACAATGATTATAATATATTAATATGTTCCATTTTTCCATTACTCTACATTATGAATTATAATCATTAATCACTCTAAATATGCAGCAGTAATAATAATAGTATAATATATTTATAGAAAATTTTCAACTCAATACAATATAATATTATCATAATATAATAAGAATTCCCGCTAAATAGTATTTCAAATTGTGGGACCGGCTGACGTCATTTTTCAAGTGATAACAATGAATGCGCGTAACAACTGAATATCGTCAGAGTTGCTGTCATACCATGTTATTTAGCCATGGTCACGACGACGTTCTCCTTCTCGTCTCTCGACGTAGCGCCACGCTCCCTCGATCGCTCGTGCATCGAGCACACCGATTCCATCGACCCACTCGACCAACGACCGCTCGACCGTCGAATAAATATGCGTACTGCGTACGTACAAACATGTTCTGGTTTCAATATACGACTTTCGACGCAACCGCGTCAACCAACTACATTGTGTGTTCTTTCATTCAAATAACTAAACTTGTGTACCTAATCCTTCCTGCAACGGAGTCAGCAGCAGAACGAAGCGCATGTTAGGACAGTGCTGTTGCCCCAACCGACGCAGCGTCAACCACGACGATAGGGCAACGCACTTGTTGCTACAACGGTAATTGATATCAGATTTACTATGAGTATTAATATTACGTCCAATCAGGTGACAGGACGTGAAAATACATAGTTTCACATCGGACGTGAAAATAGCCACTACGAACAAAATATGTAAGTGCACTTTTATCAATATTGCTTTGGTTTTCATTTTCAAAATATAAATGATCACTCAACACTTTAAATTCACCATTATCTAATAAATTGTCTAATTTAAATTCTTGATCAGCTTTCTTCTGGATGTCTTCTTCATTGGTAGGTTTAATATCAATAAGTGTCTTTAATATGTCACCACCACTTAATACATTACTACCTCTCGGGGGTTTATTAATGAGTAACAAGACATTAATCTAGAAATTTGAACAAACTGCCTTGGATCTGGATGTTGGTTGGTTCCACATGCTTGACGTACAATACTGAAGAAATGCTAAATACACAGGTCAGTAAATTGATTAACATAATGTATGGTTTAATGTATTTATATTTAAGTTTAAAAATGTACCATAACAACTATAAACCTTTTACTCAATACATTCAAGTGATCAAAATAAGTACTCTAAAAATTGTATCTGTGGCTTATGTATAATGAATTTTATAAATTTTTATAACTGTTAATATCATTTTTTATATTATAGAAAATTAATAGGTACCTCTAATGCATATTGGTTAATTCGTTTTGTCATTAGATATCTATAACCGAGTCTATAACCCACATTCTGACTCAACAATTGAATTAGACCCAAAGTCCCGTTTATAGAAACTATCAAACCTCTTTCAGTTTGACTGGTAAATCGAAGATTTTTGTCTTGAGTTTTAAACATCCAAGTTTCAATATAGTTTTCAAAGTCACTGAGTATCTAAATTTAAAAAAAAAAAACATATTTCTTTTGATATACTTAAGCAAATATATAAATTATCTACTTTGTTGTTATTAGAATTTGGGTCATCTTGTAGACTGTTTTTTTCAGTATTTGAATTTAATACATCTACTAAATAATTTATTTTTCTTGTAAATTTTACTGTAGGTTCACAACCAATGAAATTTTTGTCTCCTCTATTTAATAATTCTTCCATGCAATCGGCTACTGTTTTACTGAAAAACTAATTCAAATACACACGTCTATATCTTTTGTTTCAGATGATTGTTCAGTCAAAAAGTTATTTAATTCAGTAGATGTATCTTCTTAAGACGATGGAAGCAATTCTTTAGAACACTGATAAATAAAATGTAATTATTTTATTTTTATTGAAAATAATTTAATTGATTATTATTATTTAAAATTATAGTCTTACATTGTTAGAACTTGACTTAATTCTTTTTTCTTTAATTAAAGTCATTGTTCTCTGAACTGGGAGTTTACGTTTTTTCAAATTTTTTGAGCTTAAATATGATGGTAAATTTGGAAATATGCAATGGACTGCTTCTAATTTCAGTTTGGGTCTAATAAGTGGATATACAATTTCACTTCCATCTGAATCTATATATACTTTAGTTGTATGTATATCACTAGGTGTAAAATTAAGTTGGCATACTCCATCTTTAATACTTAAAGTTTTATCTGCTATTGGTATTTTTCTATTCCAAATATTAACCATGTTCTACAAAACTAGACTATATTAAGATTGGCTCATTTAAAAACCTAAATTCTGCCTTTCAAATACTAATGAAATAATGAATATTAAATAATCAAATACAAAAATACCTTAACAGTAAGGTATTTAAAACTTAATATTAGTTTGAAAACACATACTACAACAGTCAACAGACAACAGCTAACAAATACTTAACAGTTATCATCTACAATCTACATATAAAATTGGTTTGTTGTTATACTAACAATTAACAGTTAGACACTTCTAGTTTTTAATAGGACAATTTATTTATCTATTACCTCAGTGGGATGGAATATTGAAGGTTATTATGTGATACATACTTAAAGTACATTTTTAAGTTCAGATGGCAGCGTTTTTGCATCTAAAGCATGTCGGTGTATTACACATTGAGAACCGATTATTGATGGGTTTTTATTTTTTGCTAGGCTTACAAAAGCCGATCTTGACCCTAGCATTGCAGGAGCACCATCTGTACAGACACCTACAACATTTTTCCAAGACAAACCATTCTGATCAAAAAATATGTCAATGGCAGACAAAACATCGCTGCCTTTTGAGGTGGCATTTAAAGCCTGGGAAAATAGAAGTTCTTCTGCGATGGACTGTTCATTTATAAAACGGCAGTAAACTAATAGCTGGCAACAATTGGCCTCATCAGTTGATTCATCACATTGGATTGCAAAGAATACGGAATGTTTTAATTTATGAATCAATTGATTTTTAATGTCCAAAGCTAATTCATCTATACGTCGTTTCACTGTATTATCTGAAAGAGACATTTGAGCTATTTTCCTTTTGCTTTCTTCACCAAGTACTATTTCAACAGCTTTAAGTATGCTAGGTTTAATTAATGTTCACCCAAGGTAAGGGGTTTCTTTTGCTGAGCCACCATGAAGCCACCATGATGTGATATGAAGCTTCAACTATTTTTTCATTATTCTGTTGAAACTCTCCGGTATGGTCAATTTTCATTTTACTTAAAGAATTTTTTTTAGCAACAAAAAACTCTAGGTTTTCCTTTTAGCATCGGATGAGCTGTGGTTAAATGTCGTTCTAGTCGAATAGTTCGGAGGGCATCGTTACTTTATACAACGTGACAAATAACACACTCGAGGCTTTTGGACACCATCTTTTTCAATAAACGTAAAACCAAATTTGACATAATCATCGATATACGTTCTTATTTTCGGAGGAGACATTACTTTGATATACGTGCACTCACGACGACTACGTACTACGACACTGACGTGCACTGAGCAACTGCAAAATAAAATTAAATCGCGTCTAAACTAATCTAATATTTTTTTTTCCCCCGGCTTTCTCTTATCGTACTGATTAATTTACGGACGATGTGGCATGGTGCACTATGACTAAACACTTGTAATCTTTATCGACTTTAACGACCCTATATTCTATAATCTATAACGATAACCAGTCTTTATTAATTTTTCATTTTTTCTCTTCATTTTAAATATAAGAAAATTTGATAAATAAAAATTTTACTTGGTGATACGCCCCCTAGGTTAGGAATCACTGGTTTAAAGAAACTAGGACTAGACTTATATGTTCCATCTGCAAGAAAAAACTCTGACTCTCTTAAATAAAAACAATTTTGAAATGTTGTAAAAATAATTATTCTATTGTTGTCATTGTAAATGTCCTTGATTAAAAATTCTTGACCAGAAATTGTTTTTTTTTAATTCAATGGGAGGATTAAAATGTTCAACACAAGAAGATTCGATTAATTTACCTTTTCTCCATCTTTTAATAAGTTGTTTTGATGCATTTTTGATGTGTGAATGTCATGTGTGAATGATCCATTAATATACACGATTGGTCTTAATATGTTCATTGTTTTTAATAATTATTCGAAATGTAGCACCACATTTTTTGACACAGATAAATAGACAAATAGACAATAGTACAAATTTTCTTTATCCCGTTTACGAAAATAAATTTTACTAAAAATAAATTCATATTCATTAACTTATAACGTATTTTCCATATGTATAGTAGATATTAATTTTATAGTACATATTCGACATATTCGTTCGCTATTTCGTTCGGTCTGACAATCGGACATATTGGTAAATTACAGTCGATACCTATGTTACAGAAACCCATATTATGATTACTCTAACGATAATATAACGAATAGGTACAATTTTTGCTCTATATCAGATACTCTATTAATGTTAAATACACGTCCAACTGTCTTTCGCTGGTTAATGGTATAATAATAGCAATATACGGTTATTTATATACTATAGATAATAATAATTACAAAGTTTTCGAACAAAAATTCATCCGAACATATGCTTTTCCGAACATTTTTCATTCGTACACATTTTATTCGAACAAATCATTTTCAAACACATAACTCGACACCGAATTCAGCATACCTAATATCCAGGGCTGGAAACCAGTTACCGGTTTTTAACGGAAACCGGTTACCATGACCAATTTTAGGTCTGGTAACCGCTTCACAATTGGTAAGTTTAAATTTTGAGAAGTAATTAACAATTACCGGACAATTAAGGGGTAAATTTAAGCGGTAACCTTTTTGTAAAACAAACGGTAAATTCAACAAAACCGGAAATATCAAAAATAATTAACGTTATATTTAGTTTTTATATTTTATATTTTTTTTTTTTTTTGGAAATTGTATTCTATTTTTTTGTTTAATATATTATCTACAAGATAATAACATTAATAACTGTTATGTAATAATCAGTACGATTAAAGATGGTATACTGTTTGTAGCCGCTATAGCAAGTAATAAGCACCAATCGTAGATAGTAAGGTATAATTCATTGGTTCAAAGATATATTATAGATCATATTATATGATTATTATTCATTTTATTTTATTTTAATTGTCGCCTTTGATTAACACTTTTCGGTGAATTATTTTTCAGTTGATGGTTATGGCAATGTGGCCTATGGGTAATTTACTAATTTAATTTAAATTTATACTTACAGCTGGCGTAGCTGCAAATGATAAATTATAGCCATATAGATATTTATTTTTTAATTTAGCTTGTCCTGAACCATTTAATAAAGTAGATATTTGTTAACTAAAATTAAAAATAATATAAATGGCAAAAACCGTTTCCGAAGTGGTTACCGGTAATCTTGAAGAATTAAAACCACTTCCAAACCGTTAACCGGTAACCACATTTTTAGAGATAATTTTGGCAGTTTGTTTTTCATTATTTCTGAGCTTCTCATTTTAATATATATGTCGATTTGTACGTTTATAAAAACTTCCAAGAACTGATAAATATTTGGATGAGAGGTGTAAGACATAGAATTAAAATGTGAACGAAACGACTAGCAGGAATTTGTGGTTCTCATTGTCGATGCACGAAATTCTGACCAAATTTTTGGTGGAAATCTTGATTGGCCATCAATAAAATTATCAAAAACATAATCCGTGAATTCTCGAATTCGATCATCGTTCGGTTGGATACTCATTAAATATTCGTAAAACATCGCCCACCTCTTCTAGGTGTAGAAAAAATTTTTTAGGTTTTTACTGAATTCAGAGTCAATTTTATATTCATTTGTTAATCCTAAATTTTGAATTTTCACCCACCAGCTAAATCCTAAATTTAATCTACATCCTTTAATATTTGTTTCCGGCCACATTGATAAAATCGAATTATGAATAGCTTCTTCAAAGTCTACATACATTTTTTGAAGTAAAAATTTCAAATTATGTTTGTCACATTCATTACATAACATTTAAAAACGTTGAGTATATTATATACAATATCTTTTTGTTTATTTGAGAGCAGACAAAAAAAAGTTTAATGTAGTGTTTATTATGTTTTGTATGTATTGTAAGCATTTGCATAAATATTTTTGGGCAACTTTTAAATGTACCATCTAAGTAAAATATGTTTTTGTTACTAGATACTTTAAATTTTAAAGTGTAAAAAAAATAACTATGTTACATTGATGTAATTTGATTATTATTATTTAATACAAAATCTTCTCCTCTGTTGGTTTTTATATTTAATTCGTACAATATTGTGTAAGCCACGTCTAAACTTTGTTGAATCTTTGACTGAATTTTTTTTTAAGCGTAATGAATATTTTTTTTAATACTTTTTAATACTATACTCTATACCAAATAACATCAGTCTTCGGCGGTGACCAGTTTTCGTTCCGCGACGGTCAGACGGCCCCACTACGGCGGAGCATCAAGCACTGACACGGGAACAAAGCCATGTCCATGCACACAACTCGGAAGCCTGATCTTATTTGAAATAGACTAATAGAGTATAGTATATTAACTTTTAGTTAACAAAATTATCTGTGTTCTCTCGTTAGTTTTTTACGATATTATAATTTTTTAAGTAAGTTATTAGTATGTAAAATATAAATATTAAAAAATGCTCATAATTTACTTTAACAATAAAATATCGTGAACAATTTACGAGAGAACACAGATAATTGTGTTACCTAAAAGTTTGATAGTAGGTCAATACCTCGTTGTAGACGACGCTGACCTGACGTGTCAATGCCGGGTAACAACCATCTGGACCTTATTCTCGCCCCGGACGACACGACGCCTATCCATGCGTTCATGCATGATGCCCGAGGGCAACCATCGGTGAACAATCATGGAACACATTCAGTTCACTGCTCACCGAGATCACTACCGAAGCGGCGAAGATAGGTGTGATGTGGTGGTGTAATCAACGACATCGCCATCAGATCTGGGATAAGGTACGGGTACCCACTTAGCGGCCTACTATTTATACTGGCCATTGATTCTGTAGTGAGGACCCTGCAGGAAGAGGCAGAATATCACAAGGTACTTCCTTTCACAGACAACCTGTGCCTGCTGGATGAGAGCCCTACCGATTTACAGACCAAAATAGATACTGCCAATGTCGAACTGCGAAGACGTACAGGTGTTTGGTCTCGTGCGAGGATGGCGTCCAAGCGCACAAACGTAGTGTAGAAGTTCTAGAACGTTGCCGTGAACATCATCCACCAGGACTTAGTACTCAATGCAAGACATAGGCGGTCAGTAATGCGCACGATGCAACAACTTCAGATTGAAGAGAAGCGCCAACCTGCTTCTGAAACCCGACCAGGGAAGAACGATTGAGTGTGTTGCGGCTCACCCCGCATCTTCGCTCTTTATAAAAAATGGAGATTACACCAGCTTCGCGGATTAGCGGTTCATACACCGTGCTAGGCTGAACCTGGTCCCGCTCAACGGTTCAGCTTCCTTGAGGTCCGGAGACCTACATAACAGAAAGCCTCGCCCACGTCGTCGATCACTGTATGCGGTACCTGTAGCCTGTAACCCAACAATAAAAAACGCAGCGGCCATCAAATGTGACATCTTATTCGAAAATCAGGTATGTGTAAAAGCCCCCTACAAAAAAGTAGCATTGAAAGAACAAATAATTTTACATAAAAAAGATTCTATAACTTTTTTTGCGTGTGTCATCATAATACACCTCTTAAAGTACATCTTGAAAAGGTAAAAAAAAAATGAAAAAAAAATAGACTTACATTTATGTCTCACGAATCTCAAGATCAACTTTTATGTATTATGAGTGAAATAGTTCGTTCAACGATATTAAAAAATATGAAGAAAGCTGGTCTTTTGATATAACCACTGATATATCTGATAAAGAACAGTTTTCATTTGTAGTTCGGTTTGTTAATGAAAACGGTAAAATTTAAGAAATGTTATTGGCATTAGAAATAGCAAATTTGTACAATAACAAGTAAATACAGTATTGATTGGAAAAAAACTTATGTGCTTAGGCATATGATGGTGCTGCGAGGGATTTTTTCTGGTCTGAGAACAACTCATACAACAACAAAATCCCAAAGCCATTTATGTATGGTGATTTGCACATCTTCTCAATTTTGTAACTAGTGTGTTGATACCAATAATTTTTTGGGAGATGTACAAACCTAGGTATTTTTTATGAAATCACGCAAAAGAACTGCTGTCTTTGTTGAGTGCCAGAAAAAATTATATGAAAATAAAAGAGTTCAGAGGATGAAAAGTTTTTCTGATACTCGTTGGACGTCCCATGATAGAGTTTTAACCGTTATTTTTGAAAAGTATCAAGCGTTATTTGATTGCCTAAAGCTATTATCTAATTCATAAGATAGAGTGACAGCATCAACTTTTAGAACATTTTTGAATACAATATCAGAATTCAAATTTATATTATGTTTAATTTTTTTTTTTAAATATTTTTAATATAACTACACCCTTGAAAAATTATTTGAAATCAAGAAACATTGATTTTATTGAGGCATTGAAGTTGGTTAATATTGCAAAAGAAAACTTGAAGAAGTTACGATCTGATGATTCTTTTAAAGCTACCAAAGAATATGGAAAAGTAAATTTCAACTGTGATTTTAAAGAAGTATTAAAGAGGACAAAAAAAGAAAATGGCCGGTGAAAATGCAGGAGATTAAATTCAAGATTTAGCTTGCCATAAGTACAAATTTATCACATCAATAACCGAAAGATTTAGTCAAGCAAAAGAAATTATGAAAGACCTAGCTTTATTAAACAATGATCGCTTGTTATGTACATCTCAAAAACTCCCATTAGATAGTTTTGAACATATAGCTCCATGGATTGGTGTAAATGAAAGCCAGTTAAGAACTGAATATATGCAACTGAAAAATAATATAAATCAACTAATGAATGGAATAAAACCATCTTCAGAACTAGATGCATTAAATTCAAATATGGGTATTGACAACAATCATGGGATTTCAAGTTCTACTGAGGAGGAGATTTCAGATAATGAAACAATAATTGAAAAAGATAATGCCTCACAACTAAAATATCAGTAACCACAATCATTTAACTTTGTCTAGCTATGATTCAGTTTCAGCTTTTCCAAATAAATATAAAGCTTATAAAGCATTGGCTACCATCCCACCTTCATCATCAACCGTGGTACGTACATTTTCTAAAGTATGATTTAAATTATTAAATATTGTGTCTATAATATAAACAATACAAATTTGTAAGATTATAAATGCCCTATTTATTGTTTATAAGTTTATAACAAAATATAGTTCATTCAAATTTGCTTTAAGTCAAATTAATAAAAACAAGGTTACGATCAACTATGGGGCAGACAAGGCTTGAAAGTTTTATGCTATTAAGCTGCGAAAAGGATATCCATGTCGACATGAATGAAGTGATCGATACATATGATCAATCAAGTGAACTTTAACAAAATTCATTATTATTAAAATAAATGTAAAAATATAATTAATTAAATTAAATATAATTATTATATGACTTTGTAACATATAATATGTATTATAATTGTGTGTATATATACATACATACATACATACACGTATTATATACTTATATATTGAAAACAATTAAATGTTACCTCATCTATTTTTAGTATCTTATCATTTTTAATATTTTGGTGATGATATAAAACGTGGGTGGGTGGGTGGGTGTTTGTTGAACATTTTTTACTGCGTCATTGAAAAAATAAGTTCACGCCGTCACTGCAAACGGGTAATTACAGGCTCTGGATAGGTAGACTTATTTCAGGGGCTATGGATTTGAAAAATTGAACTCGACTTGGAGCTATTCTAAAAGTCTTTTTAGAGCTAGTTATGACATTATCAACTGCTTTAAATTCACCTCTTACTTTTTTTGCCACTCTATGTAGGCTCTATGCACACGTAACATGGTTCACTTTAGAGTATAGGGCTTTAAGCATTGAAGCTGATATTATCATTTATGGCTCTGCGTTAGTTAAAAATAGTAACACGTGATCACCCTGAATATCCAGGAATCATCAAACAGTTTGCTTATTGTTGAGAAGTTTTTTTTTTTCTAGTTTTGCACAATTTATTAAAAATTGTTTCCCTGGTCTATCTAGTTGTAGTCTCGTCCATGCTAACACATATGTTTTTAAAAGTGTAATAACTTTGTATAGAACGAAAGTCAGGCAGGTACCCTGGCAAGTAAACTTTTCTTAATTATTTTTTGATATAAATATCTAATAAATAATAAATCTAATGCTCTCAGTTCATTATCATTTGTGATAGGAAATAATGAATCCATATCAATTTCATCATTAAATGAAGGGACTGAAGAAGATTTATCGTTCATCAATTTAACAATATTTTCATTATTTGAATGAGCAATATACGTTAAATTGTTCATACCCTGTGTAAGATATGTTAATGAACTTAGCACCAAACTTTTGAAATCTAATTAAAATTCAAGCAATATATTAATTTAGTTAATTATCTTTTTATATACATTTAAATTCTTAGTATACCTGTAGATGTGGCAAATTTGGGTTCAATACTATTTGTATTTGGCCCACTATTATTTTTGATGGTGATGTCTACGACTTTATGACCTTCAAAATGATATAATAATATACTATAGAAATATATGTACAATAATGTATAATCTAAGACCCAACTATTTTCTATTAATAAGTTTTGCTTTTAATAAGTATAGATATTTTATGAAAATAGTACATTATATTCTTATATATTGTACTTGTTAATTAATACATAAAAATTACAGATATTTTACCCATCTACGTAAGTGGCAGTAAACTCTAATATTTCCGGTCCCAAAACCTGATCCGGAATTTTTTGAAACTCCGCTACAGAATTGATGAGACCGAATGGTAAGACCTTGAATTGATAATTCCGCCCTCGATGTAGAAACGCTGTAATAGGTCGACTTTTTTTTTTTAAGTCGGCAGTGCCAGTAACCCGCAGTTAAGTCGATGGTGGTTAGGTATTTGGCTCCTTGGAACTTCAACATAATCTCCTCCATGTTCATAGGGCACTCCCTGTCTGGTATTATTTTTTTGTTGATTTGTCTCGCATCTAGGCAGAGTCTGATATCACCATTCTTTTTTTCTATCCCAATGATGGGTGAAGACCATGGTTAATGGTCGAAATGCATTGGCGGATCTAACCTTCCCGTGGGTGGCCGAGAACCGCCTAGCACTAACCAGTCACTATTCGGACTAATTTCGCAAGAGCGAACTGAGGGATGATTTTGGTGTTCGCCGGGCCTCCTTATATGTACTCCGACGGTTGCCGGCGTGTGTAGCAGTAGCTGCAAATTACGAGGGCGCCAATACATTTTGTATTGGTGCGGAAACTATTACTTCGGAACGACGCGCTCTATCGTCTGCGGGAAGCGGCTCGCGTCATATTATATACAATTATTCGTGGTGGGAGGGCGCATCGTATGCATTGTCGGGGTGATATTTCATACTCGTTACAATATACATATTTCATAAACATAGAAGTATACACCTATTCAATATTGTTTTCTTTTTTAATTATTTTCAATTTTGCATGCTTAATAATATCACAATTTCACAATCTTATGGCCAACAAACTTCTCGATGATGAATATAAACAAATGGCAATTAAAGTACATAAAAAAGTTAATGTAGCTTTTGTGTATGGAATACAGATAGACGGTTGGAGTAATATCAGGTATAGAGGTTGACACTATTTTAAATAAATATGTGTACCTATGGTGTATCTATTTATATTTTATTATTTATTTTAGAAATTAACCTATTATGAATATAATCATTACCACACCAGAACCAGTTGTTAAAAAATCTTTAAGTACTACTACACACAGACCCACAGCTGAGTATGTAGCCAATGAATTAAGTTTAGTCATTGACGTTATTGGAAAGTCTTGTTGCTTAGGTGTTGTATCAAATAACGCAGCTTCTAGGAAAGAGCTTGGACTATTTTAAAAAATGATCCATGTTATAAAGACTTGCCTATAGCATATTATTCATATATATGTCACACATTAAACTTACTTGTTCATGATATATTAAAGATTAAAAATATAAGTTCACTGGAATAAATGGCAAAAACCATTGTAAAGCATCTGGTGTACACTTCGCAATGCCCCTTTCTATACTCGCCGCGGAATAAGAACGTACCCGAGTGGCGTACCAAAATAGGTTTGCTGCGCGCAGGTCATAGTTATGACATAACTATATGTTTATAACTATGACAAAGTTGCGGATGGGAAACTGGTCGCCGCCTGCGCAACGAGGTACGTTCTTATTCCGCAACGAGTATATACATTGTTACTCATTCTAAAGATGATAAATAAAAATAAATAAATAAGAAGTTGTAAAGTGAAACAAAAGAATTTGTCAGTATTATTATGTTTGTAGTATGATATTAAATTGGTTAAACAGAAAGCATGTGTTACATTACATTGATTGATAAATACCTACGATAAAACATATTACATTTAAATATAATTAATTATTTAATACTGTTATAATAAATAGTAATGTACCATGTTTAATAATGAGTTGCTTTTCATTATATATCTAGAATAATTACTTTTGAAAGTACTCAGAGTGTGGAAAGCAATACCAATTTGAGCTATTTCATTACTACTTGGTATATCTATAATTTGTCCGTTTTAAAACCAATTCGTATAATGAAGTTGAATGGTCAATCTGCTTAAATAATGCAGTAATTGAACATTGAAAAATGTTATTCTATTTTTATTTGTAATCTGTTTTTGAATTTTACCTTTCTTTTTTTAGATTCTGGTGGAAGCCTTGCATTGCTAGTTATAAATGGTCCAATAAATGTCTGTACACTTTTAGTTACCATAATAAATTTGTTTATTAATATTTAAACTTTAGGGTGAAACCTAGTGGTAATGCCATGTTTTCATTACAAATATTATTGTAATCATGTTTAATGTTTATTGCAGGCATGGATCCTGAGCAACGATCTGGGGGGAGGGGGGGGACAACATTTTTTTTACAACTCAAATACAATTATAATGAATTATTTTCCTTTATTCTTAATAATTTAAAAAAATTGTTAAAATAGTAGGTATTAGGTATTAAAGTAATAGCATAATAATAAAATAATAATTATATATTAAATAACAAAGTCCATAACTTAATATCAGCAAGAGCTTCTAAAATCTGAAATTAAATTTTAAACGATTGAGTTGTTTCAATGTTTTATAAAATACAATTTTATAATTACTAATTTATCATAAATAATTTCGGGAGAGTTGATTTGAACTGTAATATGCCATCATGATGTTCAATATATTATATTATCAGACATATATTATGTGATTTAAAATATAGTAATATCAGGATCTGTAGAATTATAAAAAATATGTCTAAAATATGTCTGGGGGTGGCTGAGCCCCTGAGCCCCTCCTGGATCTATCCCTAGTTTATTGGGATCGCACCCTTTTTAATATCTTTAAACACACCTAACAAAATGTAGAGAAGATTTATCATACAAAAAATTAGGTATTTAAAAATCTACCAAATTACTAGTTTTTAAAATATACCTTTTCACAGTATTTTAAATACCTACTTTCAAGTAATGTTTTGGAATTAGTTTTCCAAGCCATCAATAACATGATTCAATAGGATCGTGAGAATTTATGGTTAATATTAGCCTGTACAGAGAAATTTACCTATTTTAAATTATTGTCATTTTTGGCAATGATTTTTTCATCTATTGTCAATTTTATATAAAAAGTGGTAATTGTATAATATCTTGTAAAAGATAACAAAAATTAAAAAATAAAAAAATATTTTAGTCATTGAATACAAGAGTTTTAGGCGCTCCGTATTTCAGCAATAATAATTTTCATGGACTTCGTGAGGTATAGTATATGGTAATGTTTCATTGACTGATTTTCTTATCTAGCCTCTAGCAAAATATACTTATTATGTATCTAACGTTTATATCAATATGTACTGTCGTTGTCAAGTGCTACTAATCAACCGTTTTCCGTGACACAGACATTCGTTGTTTGTTATAAATAATTAGTATCAACAACAACAACAAACATCAATTCGTGATCGGGGGATATTATATAGGTACATTATCATGGCCAGTGCTACAAAAATCCAATTGGTGATGGACATCATCGACGGCGCGTTATACGACAAATCCAAACCGTGGGACGCTACATTTGGACGGGTGGAAGCTCTAACCGGCCTACCCAGGTTCAAGGTGCTGATGTGCGTCGTCCTGCTGACTTCTGTGCTGCTCGTGTACGGGTCCAGCGCGGAAGTTGTCAGCAACGCGATTGGGCTCGTTTACCCAGCGGTGGCGACGATATCGCTGACCGTCTCGCCCCCGATGTGGCGAAAGTACGACCGCGTGTCCGCTGCCACCGAGGCTCTGAACGAGAAGTTCACGTACTGGATGACGTTTACGGCGATCCTGATCCTGGAGTCGCTCTGCCGGCCGGTCCTGCGGCTCTTACCGCTGTACCAGATGTGCAGGACGTGGTTTTTCATCTGGTGTTTCGCGCCCATCCGAGACAACGGCTCTGCGTACATATATGACGCAATCATACGTCCGCGGTTCGAGCTCAGTGTTGATTCAGACTGATCGTATAATATATTATGGACAGAGGAAGTATATAGGTGCCAGCCATGTAATTGAGTAGTTAAGTCGTGTGTTATAGCATCGTTTGTTTTATCATAGGTATATCGTCAACTCGTCCTGGAACGACGCTGCAGTTATCCTGGATCGGCATGAAACATCAAATAAAAAAACACTTCCTGCAGCGCCGTTGAAGATGTCCGTCACCTATAAATTGGCTTTTGTCGATACAAGCCACGATGGGACCTATACGTTATAATATCGCCTGAACTCAGATTCTAATAAGCATGCGACCATATTATATTATTACTATAATATAATATTATAAATATTATTATGACGAATGCATGTGTACGATTTCACGGTATTTGATATGAAAAAAATGTATATTTTAAAAAATAAATAATAAAAAAAACATACATATTTCATATCAAATACCGTGAAATCTTACACTTACATTCGTCAATACTATATTTTATAATATTATATGGTAATAATATAATATGGTGGGCACGCTTATTAGCAACAATAATCACGGTGCTGAAGGACGTGTTCTTTTATCTTATGTTTCACGCCGGTCCGGGACAACTGCAGCGTCGTTCCAGGACGGCGGCTGTTGGGTTAACGATATACCTATGTTAAAACAAACTGCTATAATACACGACTCAACTTCTCAATCATATTGGCTACCTATACGTCTTCCTTCCCCCTGAAAAAATGTATGTTTGCTGTAAAAAATTTTGTTAAAATAAATGTTTAATTCAATATGAAGTGTACACGAATTTAGCGTCATTGAGTGTAATTTTTCAATATTTTATAAGGTACTGCTAGCTATGATGCCCGATACAACCTGGTAAATTAATCCATTTGTTATCGATTTCCGTTTTTCCGTTATATAATACGATATATTTTAAAACTCATCAAAACAGGATCATCCGTTCAGAAACCTTTTCTGGACAAACGGGAAAAACAAACAAACAAACAGCCAAATATTATTTCCACGCATGTTTCGTGCCGCATATTGCATTTAATCGTGCGTCCGCGGCGTACACGATTTGTATACTTTGTATTTTGCAAGATAAAAGAGTGGGTAAGCGGATGTCGCTCTTCTGTACAGTAGGTTACAAGTGGGTCAATGTATAAAGGATTTTAATAAACTTGAATTCAATGATATAATATCATTGTATAAGAAAAACGATTATGAGCGGAGACGGTTTGTCAGTCTGGATATTGTTATTATATGAGAAAATCGAAAAATTACCTTTCTAAAGTACCATCTTGATCCAATTTGCTAAAATATAAGGTATTATATGTTGAAATCGAAGCACTCCTTCTGGTAGATATTTTGAAGACAGGATATAAAAAAAAAAAAAAACACCATTGTAAAACCACTAACTTCTTCCGCTCAGAATCTAAAAATATATTTACAGTATATTTAATAGATCTTTAACCTGAGTCCTGAGACTAACAATATCACTTTCAAAAAAATGTTTTGCACAGACCCTGTGACTTTTTTTAAGTTACATCCCACAATACATATATCTCTGCATTTTTGGAGTTTCCAAAAATAAGTTTTAATGATGCCTAGTTAGGCTCATGTAGACAACAATAACTTGGCATTTTTTAAATAATATAAAAAGAAGTATGAAAATGTTATAATTAATTCACAATAACCACAATTATTATAATATCATCATTGATAGAATTGGCACGAATTAACATACCTATCCTTTATCTCTTTTTATGTGTATGGCCATTACTATATTCTGTATTATGTTCACAGTCTCACAGAAAAAAATTCTATTTATTTTATATTCTGTGGTATGACTAAATAGTAACTAGTAAAATTCCGTTGGGCTCGGAAGTTGTAGGAGCTAAAAAAGGGAAAATATGCACGAAAAAATTGCAAAATATGCATTAAAAATGTTAAATATGCAAAAATATTATTCTAACAATTCCAAAAAATAAATACATCAGATGTTGTTTACAAATTAATTATATACATAAAAATTATTTATAACTAAAAAAAAGTATAACTGGTTGGCATTTTGACATCTTATTGAGCTGAAAATAAAATCAATAATATGTTTTCAGTATTTTTTAAATTACGAAAAAAATACATGTTTTCTAATACCTGTTATGTTATTGCATTGAACCACCAATACTTTCTTAAGATTTTCTATTTCAAATGAACGACGATTATTCGATAGAAGATTTTTATATCGAGAAAACGATCTTTCAACGTCAGTTGTAGTCATCGGAGTATACTTATACAATTTTAAGTCATCGCCTGCCAACTCTTCCGGGAGTCCATCCATTGATTCACTATCTCCCGTTAGTATCATAGAAATCTTTGTCATTGTCTCGAAACAGCGGTTTTTTTCCAATACATATCTTAACTTGTTCTGAATGGCCACTCCTACTTCACTAGATACCTCTTCTATTTTTTTTTAGTTTGTGTAATTGCTTTTATTATTTCAGATAACTTGACCCCTTGAGTTTCAAGTTGCTTAATTTTTGCCGGTAAAAATCTGTAGTTTGAATCTATAAAAATTAGGTTCCATTGAACTCTGGTTGACAAGGATTTGCGCTTTTTTTTATTGATATAACATCAATAGGATCGAGCTGTCTCACTACATCACGAATTTTACTGAAGTATTTGCAATAGTAAGATGTGGCCTCAATCCAAGTTCCCCAACGAGTTAAAATCGACTCTGAAGGAAGAGGTATTCCAGGATTTACAGTTTTAAATAATATAGTTCGTGAAGGGGCTTTTAAAAAAATTTATTTTACACTTGACACTAATTTATCCACTTTAGGGTAATCTACACAAAATTTTACTTCCTCTGCAACTCTGTGCAATCCGTGCGCTAAACATGTTACGGGTATTATTTTAGGATAGAGAACTTTTATAGTGTCGCCTGCCTTTTTCATGTAAGGTGCTGCATCAGACAAAAATAACAATACATTGTTGTGGCGTATACCATTAGACCATAGTAAAAACATTGCATTATCAAATAGTCTTGTAATTGTAGAGTAATTGGCTTTTTCAAGTACTTCCGTTGTCAAAAGAAAAATTTTACCAGGACTATCTGACAACAATGTTCCCACAACTACGTTAGCGATGTACCTACCTCCCTTCCACATCAGTGGTTTCGTCGATTGACACCCATATTTTGTTTCCTGTAATATATTGCCTTATTTCCGACATACATTCGCCATAGCAGTCATTTATTGTATGTCTTTCTTAAAGTACTTTCACTAGGAACAGAATGTAGTGTGTACTTTTCAAGAAACTTTCGGAATTCAGTGTTAGACATTTTGTTTAAAGGAATATTTTCTGTCATTAGTGCCTTGCACAAATCTTTAGAAAAGGCCGACTTTTTGTTGGATGCAGTAAACAATTGCTGAGTATAATTTGAGGACTTACATTCGAAATTTCGACGAGCTGCTAACATTTCATGTTTATTTGTTTTCAAATGCTGCTTGACCGTAATTTTTTTTTCTGCATTTACTTTAACTGAACATACTTTACAATATAGTATATCGCCATCTGTTCAGTTGAAAATACGTTTCCATATTCTCTTAAATATCTTTGTAAATTAATGTCTTTTGGCATTTTAATGAAATATTAAAAAAATTAAATCGAAATATTAATACCGTTTATATAACGTTATACCGTATACGCACTTCACCTACTAACAATACGACGTCTAAAACGAAACTGTCAAATATCAATCATGTAGAATCGACAGTAACGATAAACGAAGAAACCATCATTTTATTTACGATAACTTATCGACGATAAGATAGTACTAAAAATATTTCGGCATAGGTACTAGCGTGATAGACTAAATGCGTATCACATCACTGTTATTAACTCCGTAATTGACTATGGCGATAAGAATAAATACCTTCGTTGGTAGTTTTGAGTTTTATATTCAATATTAGTTGAAATTTACAGGTTAAGAAAGAAAAAACTCAATTTTTTTAGAAAAATATGAAATATGCATAATATGTGTATAAAATCAATGTAATATGCACTTTTTAGCTAAAATTGGCAAAATATGCATTTACAATTTTCAATTTTTTAACTCGCAATTGTATATTTCAAATTTCTAGCTAGGTTTGCTATAAATTGAGATCATATAGAACAATATGTAATTCCTACAACTTCCGAGCCCTAGTCATAAGGTACTTGCGTCTAGCTCAGGTCTATGCAACTCACCGACCAATTTAGTAGTGCTCTTATTGTCTGGTCCCGCTCAGCTAGAGCGCTCTAGTAGTAATTTGTATTTTAATAATTTATTCTCCTATAAAGATAAATAATAGAAAAACATTTTAGATTCTGAGCGGAGCGATGAATGTAAAGGTCTTACAATGAAGTGTGTTTTTTATTTTTTATTTTTGTGTCAGTGTACACGAATAGTAGTCGAAATATTGCTTCGATTTTCAACTTCAGTATCTTGTTCAACGGGAAAGTTAATCTAGTTGGTATTTTTGGGAGGTCAAAATTTAAAATTCCCAATAGTTGTCCAAAGCGCCCTGCAAAAAAAAAATAAAAATTAAGGAAAAACGAGAATTTTTACTCAAAGTCGATTTTGGGTTTTGGTGTTACTCTAAAACAAAATGATCGTAAATACATGAAATTTTCACTGAATGTTAACAAAAACCTTTTCTTTACATGAAAACATTTTCAAAATATTTTGAGTTGTTTACGGATATACTCAGTTTTTTTTCTATTAATGTCAATGAAACTTTATTTGTTGTATATAAGAGCTTGCGAATGTAGTGCTATATAATTACTATGAGATTTAAAAAATTTTGTTTTTTATAAGCATTTTAAATTGAAATCTTGGAAAAATATGGAAAAATCAAGAAAATTAGCAAATTATTTTGAGTTGAGAATTCATAACATTTTTTTTTTAAATCTAAGATTTGAAAATGTAATACAAGATTATTCATAAGTTTGTATACCTTTATCAAAAAAATTATGTCCACAAGCAAATCAAATTAAATTTTTATGAGCGATCATATATTTACAATATTGGATATTTACTCGATTTCTCATGTGCGCAGAGTCTCAGTAGCTCGTCAGCCACATTATCATTCCATTGTTATCAAATATTATTGTTATCGTTTGATACTTATCAATAATATCGTTATCTTTCAATATTTATTAAAATATTAACAAGTACCAATAATCAATGAAATCAAAATAAAAATTACAAATAAAAGCTTAGGACTTTCAAAAATGTTGCATATTTTTTCTATTTAATGTTATAGTAGGTATGAATATGCTTGGTACAAATTCAGAATGAACCATGACTTTAATTATTTTCTTATGTAAACGGCATAAGTGTATTATTATTAAATATGTACAATATATTTAAGTAGAATATAAATGATTAATTTTATAATAACTTATGATACAATTTAATAGTATAATACAATAATTTATGTTGTATGGATTTAAAAGGAGAAGGATGATATGCATATGATACACCTATACAAAATAATACAACCAGAAAACACTCTATATGTATTTTAAAATATAATAAATCATAATAATTAATATTATACCTACAAGTTAAAAGAGTTATTAAATACTAGCTCTAAGTGTAACTCGGGGCCGTTGGACTCGCTGAGAGTGTGTACCGATTTTGGAGACAATGTCGTTGGAATTATATAAGTCTCAAAGGTTGTAAGACGAAAGCACGATTTAAGATATAAGATATCTTAAATCGTGGACGAAAGTTTAGGATTTGTGATAAGGATTAGTGATATGGATTGGAGATAAGGCTAGACGCTTTGGCGGGAATGTTAAAAGTTTGAGGGTCTAGCAATCCGTCACAAACGTTGTAAATGGATAGGCTGGATACGATCTCCAGGATCACCTATATAGAGTATACCTGCACATAGAGTGGTATGTGCCGTAGCATGATCGGTGCTTTATCTTATGTAAAAAGTGTAAAGTCTAAAACCGTGTTGGAGTTTCTAGCAAGTCAGTCATCTCAAGTCAAAATCGATTAACTTTCAAGTTAGCCACCTAGGTAGGCAATCCGAAATAAAATACAAACTTTATTTATATAACAATCATGGAAATTTTGAAAAATATGCAATTATAATAATTCCTAATAAAACAAATATAACATGTACCTATTTATTGTGTGATATAATATGACAATGACTTTAAATAATAATAATGTACGATATGTTCCTGTATAGTGTATATAATTATTTAAAATAACGTGAAAAAAAATAGCCCTTGTAAGTGAGTACCCATTTCGGCGACAGTCGAATGATTAAAGTCGCACTTATGTTTTATAATGAAGGTGATGAGTTGGTAATCGGAGGTGATTTGGTGATAGGAATTTGTGATAAATCCTGGCTGTTTGGCGGTCTCGTTTTGAAGGCGGGAAAGTTTAAAAGTAGAGTTTTAGTGTCTAGAAATCTCCCATGGTCCATGAATGTCGGCAATACAATGATACGATTCCCCAACGAATGTCCGGTGCTTTTTCGTATATGTAAATGTAAAAAATGTAAAGCCGAAAACCGTGTTGAAGTGTCTAGCAAGTCAGTAACCTGAATTCTGAAGTGAAAATCGATTAACTTCGAAGTTGTCCACCTATGTGTGCTACAGAAAATCAGGTGGGCAGGTATTACAGACATTAAACGGCTATAGCCTATATAAGTGAACTTCGACTACCATCTACCTATATGAATGACGAACAATCTGACTTTGTCGTAGTATATGAAATATTATAAAAATTAAATCGAAATATTAATACCGTTTATATAACGTTATACCGTATACGCACTTCACCTACTAACAATACGACGTCTAAAACGAAACTGTCAAATATCAATCATGTAGAATCGACAGTAACGATAAACGAAGAAACCATCATTTTATTTACGATAACTTATCGACGATAAGATAGTACTAAAAATATTTCGGCATAGGTACTAGCGTGATAGACTAAATGCGTATCACATCACTGTTATTAACTCCGTAATTGACTATGGTGATAAGAATAAATACCTTCGTTGGTAGTTTTGAGTTTTATATTCAATATTAGTTGAAATATACAGGTTAAGAAAGAAAAAACTCTTTGTTTAACGACAAATGGCCTATCCATTCTTTAATATCTATGTTTATGGATGGCTGATAATGATTAGTGATAGCGCTTGGTGGTTTGGCGGGAATGTTTAAATTTTTGAACTTTTGGTGTCAGTGCTGTTTTCCGTTGCATGTCCGGTGCCTTTTTTGTTTGTGGAACAATGTAAAGTGTAAAATCGTGTTGGTGGGTCTGGCAAGTGGATGCCTCATGTAATATTCGATGTACGTTCATCGAAGTGGCCCAGGTAGGTACTCCGAGGTCGTCTATCGCTTACAATTTTCAACGGTATATCAGGTATGTATTGCAGATAGGTACTTTAGTTTGAATGTCACAGTAATAGTTTAAAGGTTACAGCAATCGTCAACAAATATAATATGGATCGTACGCGGTTATACCTTGAGTATACGTTAAAAAATTAGTGTGTCGATTCGTGTATTCATAGGTATGATATTGTTCACATAATTTCTGAAAGGAAAAATTATGTCAGTTTAAAAACGTACAATTCGGTCGAACGGTGTGTAATGACCAATAATGATGATATCTAAGGCGCATGTATCATGACGGTCACTGTTTGTCTACCTCACAGATATATAAAAATACTAGATAGCCGACTTCGGTATTATTATTGTCGCCAGTAAAATGGCCGCCATCCCTATCTAAGAGGTGAATGTTTATGTTGTGGTGACTTCGGCGCTTATCACCACTTTGCTCAACTCATTCGCCGTTACCATCCGTTTGGCGGAACTTTTATATTATATTCGTATTTATACAACAACTGTGATTTCTAGTATTTATTGTCTTTGTAATTATATTTATATTCCTCGCTCAACTCGATCTCGCGTCTCCCATTAGCGACGCCAAGCGACTCGTCCCGCGACGGGTACTACGCGGCCGACCGACCGGCCAGCGTTCTCTTTGCTCACAGCCCTCGACCGAGCCACACGTTTCGTCCGACCCACGACACACGCCCGACGCCATGTTTCTCTCGCAACGGCAATCGACTCGAGTAGCGATACGATCTCGATGATCATCGTGTACCTCGACTCGCCCGACCGACCGAACTGATGTCACGACGACGTTCTCGTCTCTCGACGTAGCGCCACGCTCCCTCGATCGCTCGTGCATCGAGCACACCGATTCCATGGACCCACTCGACCAACGACCGTCGAATAAATATGCGTACTGCGTACGTACAAACATGTTCTGGTTTCAATATACGACTTTCGACGCAACCGCGTCAACCAACTACATTGTGTGTTCTTTCATTCAAATAACTAAACTTGTGTACCTAATCCTTCCTGCAACGGAGTCAGCAGCGGAACAAAGCGCATGGTAGGACAGTGCTGTTGCCCCAACCGACGCAGCGTCAACCACGACGATAGGGCAACGCACTTGTTGCTACATTGGTGACCTCTATTCGAAAACGGTATGCAAGTTTACGCGCACGCCGACACACACGACGACAACACTTGTACCACATGGGCGACATCTCTACAACCATGGTATGCGAGTTTGCGACGCTCGCCGACACCCCGACGGCCGTCACACACAGCGACACCGCAAAAGCGCGAGCACGTGCCAGACACCAACGAACGAGACGCAACCGACGCAGCGTCAACCACGACGATAGGGCAACACACTTGTTGCTACAATGTCATAGATAATAGAAGAATGGATAGGCCATGCACCCTTATCACACGGGAATTAATAGGAAAATATTATTTGAGGTTATAAGTGGCGATAGATAGATAAGAATTTAATCATAGATAATAGAAGTTCTTTTATTTATTATTATTTTTATTACGTTATTAATTCTTAAACCTTTTTAACAAAAATTAACAATATTTCATAATATTAATTAACAGTATAATATTCAGATTATTTGGTTACTCATGTCTAAAGTGAATTATTTTTGTGAGCTTTGTTCTTAAAGTGGTTTTGTCATTAGATTTCCTTATTTCGTGAAACAAACGTATTTTGTAGTATATATCCGAAATGAAATGTATTAATTAGTCTCTATGGCTCTCAAATTGATGGGTTTTATCGAATAAACAGTTTTCATAATTTAGGCAAGACATATTGTTAAATATGGAAAATTTACTATATAGGTTAGTTTTTACTTTGTTTAAAACAAAAGCTTTTGTTTTTGTTTTATTCATTATACCATAGTTATATTCCCTGAAAACTTGTTCAGTAATTATGCACACTGTCTGGACATCCATACTGGGTTTTATTAGAGACCCTCTATCCTTAACGGTCGCTAATTTGCTGTTTTGAGTAGTCGCCAATAAATGTGATGTACAAGATGTACATGCTATTTTTTTAGTTGCTCTAATTGTTACAAATCCAGCAATGTAAACACAAACATCTTCAATGTACGGATTCAAGTGTTGTACATTCTCGAAATAGCCATGATGGAGCAAAGGCTTTTCAATTTGCCAGTTAAAATTAAAATTTAACTCTTCTTCATTTTCATTAGATAATTTGTTACCACTCACAGCTTCTATATTAGTGTTATCTAAAATAGAACAGTTGCCATACACTGAACCCATTATACTGTTGTGCACCAATAACCGTTTGTACGCTGCCTGAAATTGGCGACATGTTGGGTTGTCATTGTACCCACCTTTACTACGTACTGCACTGAAAAAAGTTTCTAAATGATCCTGACTTATCTTGTATGTTATGAAAAATGTCATATGATTTTTAGAAATTAACAATTTGAATAAGTCAAGAGCACTTTGTAAACCCATAGCAATTCCTTTGAAATTTGTCTTACGCTTAGAATCAATAATATTTGTTCCATCTTCAAATTACTGGTCATTGATATATTTTTGAAATTCCATAGTAAAAAGTTGATATTTTTCAAAATTATCATCATTAATTGCACTATTGTATGGCTTCTTTGAATATAACTTTCTACTATTCAAAATGTCGAATGCGTTATTGATTATTTTGCAGAATTCTGCAGTTGCTTTACACCCTTCAAATTTAGCATCAACTGTCTGCATATAAAGCAGTGCATCTCCGACACTATCACTAAGTAACTATGAGGCTAATCTAACATTCATTTTTTCATTGTGAAAAAATATATGTCTAGATATCAATTTTGTGGCAGCCCTCAGACCTTCTTCTTGCTCTTTTTCATACAACATAACAACATTAAGCCACCCGGTTTTTTTAGATATATCTTTTGGATAACTAAAAATAATTTATTGTAATTACTTATTATGTTCACTAAAAATATGTATGTAGTTAGGTATACTATATGCATATATACAAATGAAAAGAAACGTTTTTATTATTGTTGCTGGTATTGCAGCACACACAACAAACTTGCACCATTGTTCAATGTGGCAATTTAAATAAAAAATAAACTAACTTGAAACTATACAAGAAATTGAAAAATATAGGTACTAGTTACAAGTTACAGCAAATTTCAAAAGTAATTTTCAGTTTATTTTATTATCTAAGGATGTTATCTATTTCAATTTTTATATTTGAACATAACCTCACAAAGTCGCCAAGTGCGGGAGTGAGAAACTGCCTTCTCTCTCTTACTTAAAAGACCGCGACCACTTGCGTTGTATGATTTAACATGGCCTATCCATTCTTCTATTATCTATGGTTTATGTTTTATAGTATTGATAAGCATGATGATAAGCAATTGTGGATCGGTGTAGGAGTTATAATAAATAATATAAGCACATGTAAACTTTAAAAACAATTATTATTTTGTACAGCTTTTTGAGAAGGGTTTTGTGTGGAGTTAAGTTTTCATGTATGGTTTATGCAAGAGAAATTGTCATCAATTATTTTGTCTGTGTTCTTGAAGAGAGGTACAGCTTCAAAGATAAATGTGTGAATCAAAAAAAAAATTATTATATTACAAATACCAGTATACTGAGGGATATAATTTCTAATAAAGTATAACACTAAAAAAATAAATGATCAAGTGCTTTATTTAATCGGTACAATATTAATAATATTAAAATAAATTTTAAATCTAGATTTTTCAACATAAATACATCCCTTGTGTTTATCAAAATGAAATTATACATAAAAATAAAAAAAATAATAGGTATTTTAAACTACATCTCGTAGGTATAGGTACAAAAATATTATTGGTTCATAAATAAAATTTGTTTCGTCAATTTATGATGGTTACTTATTGGGTTTAAAATATCTGTAGAATACATTTTACCATGTGAATGTAATTGTATGCTTAAATATTTTTGTATAAGTAATGCAATTAAAACCAGTTCTATTTAACTATCTAAAATATACACATTTTAGAACTGTTAATGTGTTTCAAAAATTAATACAGAAAACAACAGTATTTAAAACCAGTGTTATTTTATATTGAAAATTTATAAAAAATTTTAAGTACCTATAGTATTTTGATACATTATTATATTATGTATTAATATGCATTTAAATTATTACACACTATTTATTATCATCAAATAAATAAATAATTTTTAATGTTGCATTATTTTATTAGATTATATGCATTCAATAAATTGATATAATTTTATAATATTACCTATATAAATTAATTGTTCAAAATTATAAAAATAAATATATTTGAAAAACAAATTTTTTTCTTACAATTTTTACCTACTTATATTATTATTATTATTATTTTTATTATTACATGCTTTTCTTTAACTCACAATGTTTCATTCCTGTTGTCTTCAAATCTTGCGCGCTCGATTTGAGGCACTTATTTACGATGAAAAATTCTGAAAATTGGTATAGACATAGGTCTTGGAAGGCAATACAATAATCCGTTCTTATTTTGGGACCCGGACCTATTATAGGTATAAAGGTATAAAGTATAAAGTATCAAGAAAAGAAGGCCAACGAGTTCTCAGAAGCTAAACGGGCAAGATTAGATAAAAATCGCCAAGCCAAAAAAAAATTAAGAGCTGAAGAAACGCCATCAATGAAAAATAAACGCCTTCTACAACAACGCGAAAACAGGATTAAACAACGGGAAAAAGAAACTCCAGAAAGCGGAGAAGCCCGGAGGCAAGCGGACCATGAACGGTATCTACAACGTTATGCAGCACAGACTAACCAAGATCGAGAAGCCCATCTGGAAAATATACGCAGACAGCGGCTGGAACGTTCAGCAAGCGAAATAGAGTTTGAAAAAGCAATTAACACATTTTGTGAACAATTTTGTGAAGTTTGTACAAAACGATGCTACCCTAACCAGGTTTCAATATTAAAATGTTCTAATTATAAACCTAATTATTTGCCAATTGAATTACTCCAAAAAAAACAACTATTACTTTGTCAAGATGTGGAAAATCAAAGCACAAGATAAATTAGTGGATTCGACGAGAAAACTTGGTAATGACAATTCAATTGACTCTATTATTCCTAAAGATAACGACAAAACTGGAGGTTTGCCAAAGGAAATCGAAATTTTCGTAGTGGCTAAAGTTATGCTTAGAACAAACTTAAATGTATCTCAAGGACTTGTAAATGGTGCAATTGGAAATATAACAGAGATTAACTGGCCCAATTTTGCTAGAGATCAACTTTATGATGAATGTATACCAAAATCAATTCGAGTCGACTTTGGAAAAGATGGTATCCATAAAATAGAGCCCATATCTATTCAGTTTCCTGCGATGCGCAGTTATGGTACTGCTGAGCGTAGAATGTTGCCAGTAATTTTGTCATGGCAGTAACCGCACACAAGTTACAGGGCTCCACCGTCAATCATGCTGTTGTTTATCTAGGACCAAAGCTCTTTGCAAAAGGACAAGCTTACGTTACTCTTAGCAGAGTGAAATCCTTGCAAGGCCTCAGAATTGAACAATTAGACTGTTCAAAGCTGATGGGAAGAACACCATGTAATATTGACGCCCTTGAAGAAATGGAAAGAATGCGGGAACTGAGATAATTAAAATATAATATTACATAGTTGCTTATAATATTCAAATGTACCGAAAATAATAAATATTATGCTTTCAAAAAATCGTTTGTTTCTAATTTATAGTTATCACTAAAAAATAGAAAATAAAATAAATAAAAAATAATTTTTAAAAACATGCTTTTCTTAATACTACTTAATAAATGAACGAAAAAGTTGAAAATAAACTTACTTTTAAAACAATTTCTTAATGAAACTTCAAGGTTAACAAGATATTACTAAAAGTGTTTATAAAATGTATTTGTTGAACAATTTTTAAAAATTCTGAATTACAAAAAAAAGAAATGCATGGGGCTCTTATGAGTCAGGAATATCTCTTACAAAATTGTGAGTGTGATCAATAATCTTTAAAATATTTATCATAAAGTTTATATAAAAATTCAGTTGTAGAGTGACTTTACGTATGACTTATGATAAGTATATAAGTTATCTATTTTCATAAAAGTGTCCAATAACAACAAAATTCAACAATTTCAGAATATTGCTCTTAGGAAAATTACTAATGCTACAACCTTTGTTTCGAATTACACTATACATAATGACCTGTCAATTAAAGCTGTGCCTCTTATGAGTCAGGAATATCTCTTACAAAATTGGAAGTGTGATCAATAATCTTTAAAATATTTATCATAAAGTTTATCTAAAGATTCAGTTGTAGAGTGCCCTTACGTAGGAGTTATCATAAGTGCCCCATGCATTTCTTTTTTTTGTAATTCAGAATTTTTAAAAATTGTTCAACAAATACATTTTATAAACACTTTTAGTTATATCTTGTTAACCTTGAAGTTTCATTAAGAAATTGTTTTAAAAGTAAGTTTATTTTCAACTTTTTCGTTCATTTATTAAGTAGTATTAAGAAAAGCATGTTTTTAACAATTATTTTTTTATTTATTTTTTATGCATATATTTGTATTTAGAACTCGCCTGACTTAACATCACCAATAAAAATGAACGAACCAGATAATAACATCATTGAACTATTTTCACCAGCATCACAAGATTTAAAGTTGGACCTTGAGGATATGGAAATAGTTATTGGAAACGATAACCAATGTTTACATGAACTAAAACCAAAAGTATTGTTTAATGAGACCAACCCTCCAATTCTTATTGAAATTCCTTCTGACTAAGTAGAAACATATTATCAAACTCAGAATATAATATAACTTCTGTATCTGAACATGAACCTACTCTAAGTGAAACACCAACAAAAAATAAAATAATTCCAGAAGAGTATACTGATAGATTGATATTAGATGAACTAGAATGTAGTGTACCTTTTTCACCTGAACATGGACCTACGCAAAATGAAATCCAATAATAAACCAATTATTTCCTGAAGAGCAAGAACCAAATGTTAGATTACAATTAGATTCATCTATTATTATTGATCCTGAATATATTAATCCTATAGTAGTTGTTGAAACTGGGCGCAAAAGGAGCATAAACAATAAGAAAAAAGATAACAATTAAAAAAAAATAGTCTACCTTTTACTTATGAAATTCGCTGTGCCCATCAAAATATTTCTAAAAAAAAAATATGCTATATTTCAGAGTTAACAAAAGATGATTTAGATGCATTTAAAAGTTATCTTTGTAGTTTAACCAGTAAAATTGAACAAGACAAATATATATTAACTTTGATGAGTATAGGCATAGCAAAACGAACTGAAAGAAAAAAAACAGACCGATCAAGTAGGATATATGTAAAATATTCAATACCATCTATATTCACTATAAATAAAATAAACACAACTGTCTGTGCTGAAGCTTTTAGTTCAGTTACATCAATCAGCAGAAGAAGGCTTAATATGATAAGTAAAAACTTCCAAACTTACCATACAAGTCCCAAAGAGACAAGGGGAGGTTCCGACAAACAGATAAGGACATTGAAATAACATTATCAATAATAGAACATATTCAAATGTTTAAATGTATAAAAAGTCATCACACATGACGAGACACAGACAGAAGCTATTTACCACCTAGTCTGTCTTGCAATTATATGTTTATGCACTGGAAAAAAAAAGATTGGATGATAAACTGCCACTTGCATCTTGAAGTGAATATTACCATATATTCACTACCAAATTTAATTTAAGTTTCGGCCATCCTCGACAGGATGTGTGTAGTTTTTGTACGGAACAAAAAGTTAAAATTGGACAAGAAAAGAATGAAAACATAAAACAAATACTTACATTAGAATTGAATTTATACAAGAAAAAGCAAAACGTTTTTTTGAGCTACTAAAAGAACAAACTAATGATTCTCTTAGTTGTTCGTTTGATATGATGCAAACACAACCACTTCCTAAATTGTCTGTTACTGATGTTCTCTACAGCAGACAGGTTTGGATTTATAATTTAACTTTTGTAGTGTCTGGTTCAGATCAATTGAATGATAAATGTTTTCTTTATACTTGGAATGAAGCAGAAAGTGGCAGAGGGCCCAATGAAATATGTTCGGCTTTGATAGATTTTCTTGAAAAATTGGAGTATAACCTACTCAACTCAGGTAAAAGTGTCCCTACAACACTAAATTTATTTTCCGATTCTTGTTCCGCACAAAACAAGAATCAGTACACAATGATGATTTTACTTCATTACATAAACTATAAGTCTAAGGTATTTAAAAATATTAATCACTTTTTTCCAGTGAGGGGACACAGTTACATGCCACCTGACCGTGTCTTTGGACGGATTGAGAAAGAACTTAATAAGAAAGAAACAATTTTTTCACCACAAGAATACTGTACAGTTTTTGAAAAGTATGCAACAGTAAACATTTATAACAAAGATTTTAATGTTTTTGTTTACAAAACTTCTATTAAAACTATAGTGAAAAGTAAAAATGATTTCAAATCAACACAACAAAAAGTATTTACTTATATTAAAGGTGAACATACAGTGGAAATTTTTAAAACATACGGAGGACTTCTAGATAAAATAGAAGTTGTTAAAAGAAATGGCAAGCTTTTATCAATGACTGATAATCTTATACAGCTTCCAAAAACAAATCACTTAAAATTACCAAAACAGAAAGACGTTAAAAATCTCGTGAGATTTTTTGAAGTGCCTCAACATGGAAAACAGTTTTATGAAGATATATTTCAGAACAGTGGCAATGATGAAGGTCCTGATGAAAATATTGCTTTGTATGAATCAGACGATGACTAATGGATTGATTTATTATTGTTTTTTTAATGATAGTATTATATTTAAATACAATGAAAAAAGGACAGTGATATAATTATTTTGTATAAGTTTTAATTAAATTTTTTTTAAATTTTACTCCATTTATATTTTATTATTTTTCCTAAGAAAATTTGTGATCATACATCATATCCTTATAATAAAAGTACTCTTTTGTGTAAAAATGTAACATAAAATGTAACCTATTACCCATAGTAAATAAATATTTCTAATAACCTTATACTCATAAAATTAATACTATAATAAGTAAAATTTTGATCTAATTAAATGAGTTTTCATAAACTTAAAAAGATTTTTGGTAATAGTACGTTTTGGAAAAAATTACCATTATTTTCCAAAACGAACTATGTTGACTAATTTATTCAAAGTGTACTATTGGTAGGAAATAGTGCGTTTTGACGTAAGTTAATCTTTAGTATAGTTGATTTATTGGCTTTATAAGAATTTTAAAAATTGGTTTACTCCATAGGCAATTATAAAATATTTTACTGAATTTATTGATGGTTCATTATTAAATGTACGACTATCTAGAGCTTCAAACCACAAAATTGGCCATACTTAAAAATATGAAAAATGCCAATAGTACGTTTTGGATTGTCACCCCTCAATTATTCTTGAACCACATTTGACAAATTCTTCAAGAATCTGTTTTGATTCAATTGATGTCTTGACTATATGTATAATTCATTTTATATGTATATTATGGCCAAATTACTAAATCGATTTTGAATCATAGTAGGTAGTCCTTAACTAATTTGTAATCCTTCCCATTGCTGAGAAGAACGGCTCACATGAAGCTGAGCTTACAGGTATACTTAGTGCAACTTGTAACAAATTATGCAAATTAGGAAACAATTCTAATGTAACGGTTGACCGTAAATCTTGAATAGTCCAATTTTTGGTTTGAGAATTTAAATAATTATTGACAATCATCATTTCAGCTTTTAAAACATCCATTTTTATTTTTAAGTTATAACTATAATAAACAGTTTAATTGGTGTAGGTAAAAATAATTCAATTACATTTTTAAATGCAAATATTGCAAGAAACATTGTTGTGGCTAAATTATTGGTAATATTAAATATATGTTATAAACCTTATTCTTATTTTAAAGTAGGTATTATAAATATTTCAAATTAATAAGTAGTTTTTTTAATAACATAAATGCCCCCATGTACTGTAGAGTTGATACGATACGCAACGACGCTCAGTACAGACGTCGGAGCTACCTTTCAGCACCTTACTAAAAAAAAGTGGCATAATAGCCACCACGGGCTACGACGGCGCGACACTGTCGCTTCCCCCACCATGCCAAAAGGCAGAAGGTGGGACGGGGAAGCGAGTCACGCCGGACAAGTGTTGGCCGCCGGCGACATCTCTCTCGGTCTCTGACCGTCAGCACGGCCTGATCTGTCTGTTTTTTTGTTTAAAAACTTAATTACGTTAGTCCGCCGAACCACGTTTTCATATTTGTATTTTAAAACTATCGTATTAAAAAATGCCACACATCTGTTTTATTGTTTTATAAACGCGATCACGTCGAACACGACCTCGGGCGAGACCGTTGTTCGTCACCCGACCACGGGTACACCTTGTACATACTACCAAAAACAATCATAGTTCACAGTTGTGACAGTTGTGACAATGGTGACTTGGAGTGTAGAGTGGTCTTTGCTCGTCTGGTGTAATACCGTGCCCCTTTGTATTCCCGGTTCTGGTTTGTTGACTGTATAAGAAATTAGAAATTGCGAATAATTGTAATCGAATGTCTTGCCATCAATCATCGCTCTATGCAAATTTATGAGTTATAGGGCATGTAAGTAAGGCGGATTGGATGCATGACCCGTGGATGACCCATGACCCGTTGGTCAATGATGAGCAGAGTTCGTGACTTATAGCACTTATAATCATAAAATAAGTGTTGAAAAAACCAGGGATGGAAGATGGAAAACAATTAATAAAACAAAAACAATAACAAAAAATCCCAAAAACCGAAAAAAAATTGAATAACGAAATAAAAAAAAGGTGGGCAAGTGGGTGTCGCTCTGCTGTACAGTAGGTTACAAGTGGGTCACTGTATAATGGATGGTATTAAATTTGAATTCAATGATATAATATCATTGTATAAGAAAAACGATTCTGAGCGGTGACGGTATGTCAGTCTATGTATAAGACATATTATATACATATCTATGGTATTAAACAAAAAATTGACCTATAATAAATTCCAAACTAATCATATCACAATATCCATTAGATACTTATAACGCGTTATACTTCAACAAAAACCGTGAAACTATCATAGATATATAATAGTACACTTTAGAAGTTTCAAGTACCCACGAATAATATTATTCAATCACAACAAAATAACTAAAATCGTAATTCTTGGTTTAAATATGAAATTTTGTCTAAATTTGAAATTAAAATGTCTGTAAAAAAGAAGTGTGTTTATATATATTTTAGATTTTTTGGTTACAGTATGAATTATTTAAGAGAATCTTTGTTTTAAATTTTCAACTCTTAGTTATAAAAACTGAACATTTTATAATTTTTTAATTCCAACGATTGATAATTTTCGAGATTTTGATAAATTTTGTCAAAATTCCAAATTTAAATGCTTATAAAAAAAATCGTGCCTATGTATTTTTAATATTTTTCAACTGATATTGTAACAATATATCAGGAGCCTTGTATTAAATTTTTACACTTTTTGGCCCAACAGATAAAACTTTATTGATATTTATAGAAAATAAAACTAAAAAAATAATTGAAAGCTGTAAATGTCCATAAACAGCTTAAAAAGAGTCAAAATATTTTCAAAATTGTATGGTGTATAGAAAATGCTAATTTAAACATTCAGTGAAATTTTCATGTATCTACAGTTGTTCGTTTTTGAATTGCAACAAAATAAAGAAATCGCTACATGAGTAATCGAGTGAATATCCAATGTTGTAAAAATTTGAATTTCAAACGCTCATAAAAATTTAACTTGACTGTCCGGTAGAGATTTTTTTATTGATAAAGGTAGATAATCTTATAAGGAATCTTGTGTTTCATTTTCAAATCTTAGATTTAAAAAGAAAAATTTTTACGAATTCTTAACTCAAAATAATTTGCTAATTTTCGTGATTTTTCCATATTTTGTCAATTTTTGAACTTTAAATGCTTATAAAAAAAAATTGTGACTAAGGATTTTTAATATTTTTCATCTGCCTTTGAAACAACATATTAGGAGCCTTCTATTAAATTTTCAAGCTTTCGCAACCAACAAATAAAATTTAATTGATATTTTTAGAAAAAAAACTAAAAAAAATGGAAAATGAAAATGTCCCCAAACAGTTCAAAATAAATCAAAATATTTTGAAAATGTTATCGTGTAAAGAAAATGCAATTATAAACAACCAGTGAAAATTTCATGTATATACGTTCATTTGTTTTAGAGTTACACCAATAACCAAAATCGATTTTTTGGAAAACCAATTTTGCGTAAAAATTCCCGTTTTTCCTTAATTTTTATGTTGTTTTTTCCCGGCGCTTGTGAAAACTACTGGGAAATTTATACTTTTGACCCCCCAAAGTACCAACTAGATTCACTTTCCTATCAGAAAAGCTACTGATGAAGAAAATCCAAGCACTTTTACTGTCCTAAAACGTGATGACAGACACAAAAATATAAAGAAAAATATAAAAAAATAAAAACATACATTATTGTAAAACCAATACATTCATCGCTCCGCTCAGAATCTAAAACGAAAATAAATTATAGTATCATACATTATTATATTTATATACCACGAAAAAAAAAAATTCAATTAAGTCTTTACTTTTTAATCTTTACCAATAATGCACTTTTAAAATTTAAAAACATTTTAATTTTAAATCAGAAATTTTAAATTTCTATATAAATTATAATTTTAGTTTAAAATTTAAATATTAAGAATAATTTATTTTAATTTTTAACTTTTAAGTACATTTCTATATTGTGCGTTACTATTATAAAAAAATAAAAACGTTATTTGGAAACAATAGGAAAATAACGTTAAACAAAAACGATATTTTTTAAATCAATAAACAAAAACGAAAATTAAAAAATTAAAAACGTTTTCCATCCCTGAAAAAACCCTTAAATACTGAATAAGCAATAATAAAAAAAATATTAAAAAAATGCACTGAACTATCAATACAATTTTTTTTCATTATTATCATTTGATTTTTATATTTAACATAAAAATTGTAATCTTTAAGAAAACCAAAAACCGTTTTTTAAAAAATTTAAACTTTTTTATTATATTTCTTATAGATTTTCTTAAAAATTAATTTAAAACTGTTTAAGAATAACCGTGAAGAATTGAACTCATTTAGTACTAGGAAATACTATAAACAAAGGAGAAAAATTTTTTTAGTTCAAGCTTTACTGTATAAATAAAAACAGAAATTAACTAAAATGTTTATACTTTTGTTAGTGGGACGTGAAAATCATAAATCATAACCAAGCAGAAATATGCAAAAAATCAAAAATAATAAGAAAATCTGCTACATTTTAAGTCAAACCATTGAAGTTGAACTCATTGGGCCCCGTAAAATTAAATGGGCCGCCGGCTTAGTAATAAAAGTTATATGACAGAAAATAGCTGAACTCCCCAAACTCTGAACAAAATTTGTTATTTTGCTGTCTTTAACTCCACCTTCAGTATATGTTGATATGTTATTGAATGATTGTTTTATGTTTGTTTGACGTTTAAAATTTTGATAGGGAGGTGGCAATGTAATGACATTATCTGTATTCGGAACACTAGTATTAATAGCCTCACCTGGATCATCAGCTACGTCTTGTTTATTACTATCATGTGTTTTTGATTAATAATTGACTTATGCATACTATTTAGGTGTCCATTTAAATTTGTGGTGTTACCTGATGTCTTAAGTTTCTTATAGCATAATACACATATCGATGTTCTGTC